AAAAAAATTTTTTTTTTTTTTTTTTTTTTTTTTTGCTTGGTGCTTTTCTGGTCCTTGCACGGCCGGGCCGCCCCTAGGTAATAAATTAATAATAAATAAATTGAAACGTTTTTCACCTTTGTAGTAGCAGATGCAGATCCCAGGGCTCAATCCCGAGACCTCACCTCACCCGTGTACAGTACCCCTGTGTGTGTGAACCCGTGACCTGCGTTTTAGGAGTCAGTTGTTGTCTGTCATAGGTCGATGTAGCTGTCGGGTCTTGAACCGCAGGTCTGTCGAGTAGGGGTCATAGTTGTGTAGAGGCCGTAGCTGTAGCAATTCGATCGAGTGTCTATAGTCAGTAGTAGCGAGTGGCCATAGCCGCCATAGGTTAGAGTTAGTGATGTAGTGAGTGAGTGAGTGCGCGTAAAGTACAGAGTGAGTGTGTATGGGATATCCAGGGAGATCCGGAGTTAAGTGCGTGTAAACAGTTGATGTAAACACTGAGTTGATGTGTGAAAAGTGAAGGCGCTCAGTCGCCATAGCCAATCTGAAGCAAGTTTGTATCTGAATTTGTGTGGGTGCCCCGCGCCAGTGTGTTTTGCCATCTGTTGCATGCATGCGAAATGAGAAGAAAGCGAGTCTGATTTCAAAATTATTAATTTATTAAATTATTAATTTATTAAATTATTAATTGATTGGCATTATTTTTATAAATTTAATCAAAATGTCGGAAATGGTCAATTTATTAATTTAACCTCAATTATCCGGAAGCAAATGTTCTGAATATCCACAAAAAGTGTCAAAAACTCCGTGAATAATGCTTACGTGATATAATGATGTCATAATTTATGAATATTATTTCTTTATGGAAATTTTATTATTCACTTTCAAAGTTTTAAACTATGTGGCAAATCAGCAATGGCGCCCATGCTATTTAGGTAATTGATGGTGGCCCGGCGGGAGGTAAGCTACTTGCTGATTAGTAATAAGTAATTGCTAATTAATGAAGGGGGAATCGCAGAAATTCTGAAATAGTCATTTTACTATCTTTCTGGGCAACAAACGTTCATGACAGAAATGCGTTGTTTTTCCTTTTTTTTTTTTTCCTTTTGTTTTTGGGAAGGGCGACGGCCTTGAGATTTCTTTATCAAGCGGACCGGCCTGAGGTAGTTTAGAATTGTAGTATTTCAGTCATCTGCTCTCAGTGGAGTTTGAGCTCAGGTCTGTATTTCAACAGTTCAGGAGTGTACCAACTGAGCTAGGCCAGTTGGTAGAAAAGAAAAACGTTTTTGATCGCAACAGTACCGTTCTTTCATGGCAGAAATAGTAAAATACCTTTTTTTTTTATCGTAACAATACTCTTTTGCTTACTGTCTTTTTGGTAAAGGTATATATTTGCCTCGAAACATCAAAAAGCGGCTATCTCTGTAACACCCCCTTAGCCTTATACACTATCGAGTTTGCTGCCCCCTTTTTCTGCACTTGTTGTATTGCCTTGGGCACTGCGCCCCTGTCTTAAAAAGCCGTTTTCGGCAAAAAAAAAAACGGAGTTCGACATGGTCATGGAGGGAGGTATGCTGTCGATCAGTCATGTGATAGGAATCGTGATTGCGATTTGAGAGGGGATAAGAGGTTTGACATGTGTCTTGCGATGCTTCTCTTGTTTCAGGGTTGGTGTGGAGGCGCCACTCAAGGCCGAGGTGATGATCACTGATGGACACGGCAAATGCATTGCTGTGAAGGAGTCTGAGGAAGCAGTATGTCAAGTTGAGGCATTGCTCGATCCCGGATGCTTCTGGGTGGTTGTTAAGGCGCTCAGCTGCACAGCAAAGGTGGGAAAAAGGAGCAGACTTCGGGATGCAGATGGCGAGGCATTACATCGGCGATTCCTGTTTACGGTGCACTCAGATCGGACGGTTGAGGCAGCCTTGGAGTTGCCCACGCCTGACCTCAGAGCGGTCGAGGATGTTCGTTCCGAGACAGCAACTGAGCGGGAAGAGGGCCCATTATGGTTGGAACCCATGGTATCTGAACCGATGGCAATGTTGCTGGCTGGTTTCGCAGATGAACCAGAGGAGCCGTCACGTGCAGCAGCGTCTTGTTTCACAGACGAGCGAGATGCAGTGGCATCATCGTGGGCCGTTCGTCCTCCTTCCGGACTGATTGGTGATCCGGAAGCAGCAACGCGGTTTGTGCCAGAGGGCGTAGCAATGGCTCCCGCATTTGAGGACTATACTGTGGAGACGGATCTGGAGACGGCGGGAACCATGCTTGGGGCATGCGCAGGATTTGCACAGCAAGATGCACCCGTGCCAGTGCCAGTCGTTTCCACATCTGAGATTGGCATCGGGATGCCAGCAACCCCGGTCGTGGAAACCCGTGTCCCGCCTTTTGCGGAGCCCGTGGCGGACCCCACAGGTCTGGCCTTGACTCTCCGGTCGGTTTCTTGTCTCGACTTCGCCAGACGTACGGCGGCTTATCCTGAACCTTCATCGTTTGCTGCGATGATGGACGAAGCATTGGCAAAGGCTGCGGCAGACGTAGGCCGCCGAGATGAAGTTGGCCCGTATCCAGATGTCCATAATCTTCAGGAGTTTGTGCCTTCGAGCTGTCATAAAACAGACCTTCTAGTCCGGGATGTTCCGGGAGCCGCAAAGAGCACAATTTCAGCGGTGGATGAAAACTCCCTGTTCCTTACGCCGGCACCATGGCAAACCGCTGAGTATCTGGCTCCTTCAAAGGGGGTCTACAATTTTGGAAAGGTCGCGGACCCTGCTTCTGGACCAAGGCCTGTTCCAGCCCATGGGGTGAAAATGGTTCCTGCAGAGATGCTCTTCCCAACGAGACGTCTCTTCCCGCCCACCAAGGTTCAGCCTCAAGAGGTCAAGACGGGATTACTTGAAGACGGCTGGTTGTTGTCTGTCCTCTCTGCTCTTACGGAGTTTCCGGGTGTCATTGAGAGGGTGTTCCTCGACACGGAAATCCCTGCCAATGGAATTTGCCGGCTGCGCTTTTTCAAATCTGGGAGGTGAGTCTCTTTCTCCCCTCGCGATTTCCGTTTTTGTTTTTATTTTGTTTTCTCAACGTTATTCAATCCTGGTTCTTTTGCTAGAAGCCAGCGTGAATTGACAAAGTCATTCTTTACACCGGATTTCCTTGCCGGCATCAGTTTGCCACTGGGATGCCAGCACCCACGCATCCAACTTGGAGAACACATTCACAGGAGACGGGGAGGTGGTGGCCAGGATAGGCTCGGATTTTCCCCTCCCGGACTGCCAAAAACGGGTATTGTGCTGGCCCGAATTATGCTCGGCAGTTCAGGTAACGGTCGGAATGAAGACGTCAAAAGAGTCGACCAACTGCACTTGCCCTGAAGGGGGTCGGAACCGCTCCCGAAAAGTGCTTCTTAGGGGGTTTAACTTTGAGGTTTAGAATAAAGGCTTGAAAATCTAGACCTTCCGAACCGTTTCAGAGAAGGGCTGCTTTGGCGGGGGGGTTAAGGGTCAGAATAAGGGAGGCTTGAAAACTGAAAGACTAGTCCAACTTGGCTTGGCCTGAAAGGGTTCCGACCACAGACAGAAACTAAAACAAGAAAAAGAGCTTGTGAGGATTTTATCATTTTAGTATCATTTACTAATTTGTTTTAGGGGTCGGAAATAAAAACATATTGTCACCACAAGATCTTTTTTTTGGGCTAGGGCCTACCGGACCACAATGGCTGGCGCCGCCAGCCAAAAAAGAAAAGAAGTGCCGCGCTGGCAGTTCGGAAAGTGCGCCGCTGGCGGTTTGGAAAGAGAGACCCGGGTGTACTGGCGGTTTAAAGCAGCAGTACACCACATATGGGCCTGCGGGTGTCAGCATTAAACCCGCACCACTTAGGAGGCAGCTGATGTTTTTTTTCATTGGCGGGCCTGGCCGCGCGGCGCTTCAACAAAAAACTTTCTGCAAGGCCGTGTACTAACTGTTTAAGGCTGCCGTCTTCCCCTAAACACAGTGCAAGTGCACCCTCATCCTGCCTGTATCAGACCACAAAGATCGCTACTATGCTTCGCTAGTATACACTCGTGGTCAGGGTGTGTTGTGTTTGGGGGAAGACGGTAGGTTATGAACTTATGAAGCGCATCTGGAACTCAGTGCCTGATGGGACCAGCTGGGACTAACTTGCCTGTGCGTGTGAGGATAAAGGAGCCTGAAGGAGCTTGAAAGAACATGAACTGGGGATGTACCACTATGGTAGTACATGGCCCCAGCCTTGGGGAGAAATTGTTCGTCACCTACTCCGAAAAAGGCGAGCCCGGTGCGCCGATAATAATCATTTTTTCACAAGTGGCCGGCGTTGCATTTCGCACCTCTGAAACTTGTGGTGAGGGGCCCCGCGGCCTATGTATGACCGTGTACTGACGGTTTAAACAGGGTGTTGGTATGTGGTACCGTCAGATCGGTTCCTTTTCCACTGGCAAGAACAACATTTTTACAATCACCACCTGCCCTCCACGCTCCCTTCCCGTTGAACCTTTTTTTTCTTTTTCTTTTTTTTTTCTAACCATTAGTCCATCGGAGACTTCTTTTTCGCGATGCAAATTTCTGCTGTGCACGGTGCACCAAACAAAATAACAAACCCTGCACGGGCATGAAATTGCCAGCCAACGGCAGCCTTTTCTGTATGGCAGGCCCGACCTGCAAGTTTCCAGCAGTTTAAGAGACGCAGACTGCAGCCCCACATCCTCGACAGGGAGTGCTATGGGATAGAGAACAGCGAAGTGCGGATTGACGAGAAGAGGCAAGGAAGAAGATCCAAGGCTAGAAAAAGTACTGATGTACCCAGCCTGCTAACCAGCACTAGGAATGTGCCGGCCCAGGGTTGAAGCTCCCTGAAGATGAGGGTCGGGTGCTCATTCCAAGTGAGTGTAAAAGAAGCGCCTGTGTTGTGTTGTGTTGTGTGTGTGCGTGTGTGTGAGCGAGTGAGTAGGTACATGGCACCCACCGCGCAGGGGTGGAGTTTGATACGCATATGATGTGAATACTTACTGTCACACAGTGTGTGACAGCGTCACGTGTTGTGTGACAGTTTGGATTTTCCAGCTCCGCTTTGTCCACCGTGTCATGGCTGTGGTGGTCACGAGGACTTGACCCTTGTGACTAAGGGTGCCGAATCAATTCCATGTGTGGCATGGACGCATAGTGGTGGTGTCTTTGCGATGAACACTGAATAGTGCAAAGTTGCAAACATGTGAAAATCCAAAACGAAAACGGAAAAGAACGAAAATGAAAACACAAAATCAGAAGAAAGAAGGTACAGCCTTTGTGTGCCCCCTGTGGCCGTTACCCAGTACTACCACTTCGATTTTCCTAAGGCTGGTATCGGCCGGTTTTAGGCTCGGCAATTTTTTTTTATTTTTTTTTTTTATGTTCATTACTTAAGATTCTGTTGGACTAAAAAAAAACTGGAGGACTGGTGGTTCAAAAAAGTTTAGACAGCATTGATTGCTCCTCTAAAGGAGGATCAACTGTCAGCTTAGTCGTGTTCCTACTTCAATTATTAATTTATTACTCTTTAAGTCTCGTCATATGTGAGCGCCCAGATTAATGTGAAAGATTACAGACGTCGGGGACTTTGGTTTCAGAGCTGCGAGCTTTCCTTTTTTTTTTCTTTTTCTTTTAGAATATTTGAGTGTCTGTATTTTGATCTGTGTCTGCTGTCGGTGTACAGAGGCCGTGGAACAAGTTGCTGATTAAATTTTTTGGGTCTCTTGTGAGGGGCAAAGGGGCAAAAGGTAAAACATGTGAATCACATATGATGCAAATAGACATTGTCACACATAGTGACGATTCAGTGTCGGCAAACCTGTCCAGATGCATCGTATCTTAGAAAGAATTATATGTTTAGAATGAATCCCCACCCTCCTGCCACTTCGCTAACTGTGAACATGTTTGTCTTCTTCAGATCTGTGACAGTGGCCGTGAATTGCGATATGCCGTGCAAAGACGGAAGACTGGCTTATGGTGAGTAGTAGCAGTTTCCTTCTGAGAGTCCATATGATCCTCGCAATGGCACTTCTTTAGACTCATTTGACAGCAATTAAGGACACATTTAGCGGAAGAGGTCCTAGTGCGAGTATACGCTCTAGCACAGACTAGCACTGTCTAGCAGCTCTCTTTTTTTTTTTTTTT